TCTCTAAACTCCCTCTATAATCTCTTTTGTTTCTCTCTATCATCTTCCTCTTCCTCTGTACCAATTCTTTATCTTTTACAATGTAGTTAACATTTAGGATTAGAGAGGGAGAGGGCCGGCGGCAAAAAAGAGAAGAAAGAGAGATGATATAGTAGTAGGATTTATTTAGTTCTAGTGACCAAGTGTTCTTTTTTTTTTTTTTTTTTTGTTTATTTCTCGTTAAGTTGTGTAATTCCCTCTTTTGCTCATGTACCCAAAGACGAAGACGTGAATCCCTCTTTTACTCAGAATTATTTCTGTTTTTCCCTTGTTATTACTCTCTGATTTCCCTTCCTTTTCAGTTATTGTTGCCGGTGTTGGTTTTTTTCTTTTTCCAACTGTGGTTTTTTTTTTTTTACATTTCTCACTCACACATGTTTTAAAACCAAATTATTTCTCCGAAGATGGAATAAAATGCCTATAAGGATGAGCTAATTTAAGCTAAGCCACACAATAAAATCATTTTGCTCTAGCCCGTCCTTCATGGGATTCAAACCTATTTAAAAAACTCAATATCTTTAATTTCAAGAAAACATGGAGGCAACTCAGACAAGAAGTTCGCCACAAGAATACAATACCAATGAAGACACAAACATGTCATTTTATTTTCAGGCTGATGAACGAATTCTTCACGCATTTGATTTCCTCATATGTCATACAACAACTTGGCAAATGCTTTCATATGGTCAGACTGCAGGGAGATGGCCACTGATAAACTCCCATCATTTGTTGGACTTGGTAACACAAAAGCCAACCCCTCGTATCCAATTCCACCAGGACCCATGAAAATAGGTCGACCCCAACCAAAATCTGCATCGTAGATCGGCAGCCTAGCCCAACTAGTTATCCCAAGTTTCGGGCACCGAAAAGTATGAGCTCCGCGAACAAGGGCCGACAGATCAGGTTGAACCTCAAGAAAATCAAGAGCTGATCTAAGGTAATCGTTGTTCATGCGCACCACAACATCATGTATACGGCCCGCAGCATACCATGTTGGTTTCGATTTGAGATCCCCCGCTGTTGCAAATGGTGCGCCTGCGAAAACCACATTGCCAAAGAAACCAGGTGGGAGTGGGGGTTGCAGTCTGGACCGTCCATCAACCGCAACATGCAGTTTGGTCACTTGATCATCGGGAAGATTACGTGTCTTGGTTGCACATCTCCAAACATGGCCTGCCAACATCTCATATGTGCTGTAGTTGATTGAGTTCCCTTCTTCCTTAGACTTGGCTTTCAAGACGCTTAGTTGCTCCCGCGTCAATCTGAAAATGGAGACTGTTGTGCTCTCAGCATCACCATCTTTTGTGCTCGGCGGAGGAGTTTTTAAGGGCGGATCAGGTTGGTATTCTACGTGGTCGAATGTTGTCTGAGGTGGGTCTCGGGCACGAAGTAATGCCCGGTCGATGAAAGGTGGGATTGTAAGGTCAAGTCCGCGAGCGATATCAGACCATGTATTTACAAAGTGGAGACCTGAGCACCCATCTGCCACCCGATGTTCCAGGCCGACGCCAAGTGACACTCCACCGCATTTGAAGTATGTGACCTGCAAACAGTGTAAATGGAGAGAAATATATTGTTAGAGTAACCCATGTTCAAAAGAAAGTTAGGCAAAAGTTGGTTTTACATGTAAAATTTAGTGATGAATTTGTTTCAAACTAATCTCGCACAATTATATACGCATTAATGGTATGAAGTTATCAGTCGATTTACTTTTACTTTAGGAAACTTAGTTGAAGACCTTCAGACGCTTGCAGAAATTGCATTTGAGCGTGAAAGTCTGAGACTAACTGATCACCGACATTCACGCTCTAGCTCATCATGGTACAGAAATTATTATTTTGACTTCGAATAAAAAAACAAGAGTGTCCTTTCAGAATAGCATGTGACATGGTCCATCTTCAAGGAGCCCACAACTTTTAGTTATATATAATTCCAAAAAAAAAATATTTCTAATATATGCATAACTGATTACGTACAAATTAAAAAAATATCCAAGATATTTTTCGCTTTGTATAATACCGTATTTTTTATATGCTTACATTTTTCTTGCGTAAAATTGTTATTTCTTTGACATATATCTTCCTTTAAATTCTTCTATATTTATTGTTAGATGATATTAATTTTCATACAAAAATTGTACTCATAAATATATCATAGAGAAATATACTTTCAATATAAACAATAATATTGTGCATAAAAGAACCGCATTTGAGAAATGCTAAGAAGATTTCTTTCAAGTAAAATTCTCTATCATCTTATAATTTAAAATTCAATTTCGTATTAACATTGAAACATTATACTAAAAACACGATCAGATAAAAGTGAGAAAGTCGGAGTCTCTGTAGCGTTTCTCGTGTGGTTGTAATCTTAAAAAGCGCTCGTGGTATCTAAAGACGTGCTCTCACGGCCACCTGCATTTTTACATTGAAAGCCTGAAAAGAATGCAGACCCACACATGCTGCTGCCTCAATTGATGACCAACTGTATTCTCATCAATGACAAGTGGACAAGTAGGTAGGCAATTTTCCTACCGACATTCTATGTTGGCGACCAAAAGACTTTTCTGTTTTTTTTTTTTTGTTTGTTACTTTTGTTTTTAACTTTGGTTAACGAGTCCACCATCAAATTAAACTTCTTAAAAACATGTTAATGCAAGGCCAAGATTTTTTCTGTTCTTTTTTTTACTTTTAATTTTACTCTGGTTAACGACTGGTCCGTCTAATTAGACTACTTTAAGCATTGTACATCACATGCTCTGGTGCACAGTTGAACGTTTAGAGCGATTCTTAAATTGAGTTACGAGGTTTTAAACTTTTCGAACTGGACTTTTAAGTTCTAGAAAATTGTTTTTAATTCATACATTTTGTCCAACAGATTATTCACATCTTCATTAAATTAATGGTATGATGAGTGCGTAATTTGTAATTCGATCGATGTGTTGTTATATGGATGAACACCAACGGGTTGAACGAGTTCAAAAAAATAAGAAAAAAAATTAAAGGTATAAAAATACAGAGGTATATTAGAACTTTCAACTTAAAACTTCAAAAAAAAAAAAAAAAACAAAAAACAAAAACAAAAACTTAAAAAATAAATGAAAATTATTAATGAAATCTATAACTTAAAACAAAATGAAATCTGAAGTATAAAAATACTAAATAAAATTGATTGAACTTTGGAAACTTGTAAATATTAGCTAGGCAATGCTATTTGAAAGTTGGTATGAGATCAAACTGTGACCGGACTTAAACAATTAACAAATCACATATTAAATTACAGGAAAAAAAATTTATGTATTCCTTTTTTTAGAAAATAAGAAATATGATTTTCTTAGGTCTTCTTTTTCTCTCATTTTTAATTTTATTTTGATTGATGTGTAATGAAATTCTTAATATACCTTAATTTTAATGAAAAATTAGACAACGTTAGCGAAAATGATCAAGATACAACATATTGTTAAGTCTGAAAACTAAAGAAACTAACACACACACACACGAGAGTTTATTAACTAAAGTAAAACTATAAGTAAAGTTCAATAATTAATATATATATATATATGAGAGAGTTTATTAACTAAAGTAAAACTATAAGTAAAGTTCAATAATTATTGCTACAATTAACTCTTAAGTTATGAGATTGTTCACTGCCTCAAGTGATGATGATGCTCATCATCCTATTTTTTATTGTTGGATGAATTTAAATTTTAAGATCTGTACAGTAAATAAACACAAATCTCAAAATTTAAAACAATCCAATTATAATAAATACAGGTTAGTATTATCACCACCTGACGCGGAAGCAAAGATGCACTAGATCAACATATACATACCTGCACCACCAAGAGGGGATATGTGGAAATCCCAGCAGAATAATCAACGACGGGGATGAGCTTCCGGAACTCAGGAGTCGGCGCAAAATCGCCAAAATCCTCGAGGACGGAAGCGGTCTCCGCCACAACAAACAGCACCCCCTCCCCATTGCAGTTGATTTCGGAACGGCCGGTTTCGTTCTGCTGGAGGCGACCCGCCAATGGGTAGAAGGGCACGAGGGCCTTGGCGAGGGCGCGCTTGAGCACCGCCGGGTCGAAGAACGAGTTGCCATGATGGCTGCCGGTTTGGCTTCGCCGGTAGAAATATACACTGGGGGTGTGCTTGCCCAGAATTACCAAGTCCAAGTTGGACATCCACAGAACCTCCTTCGGCGTCTCCTCCGTCGGCTTGACGATTGTTGACTCCCTCACGCTAACGTTTACCGCCATGTTTTAGTAAATTGGTGAAGGCCAGAGATTATTATGCTGTTAGCTTCATGCAATGAGCGCGTCTTATATAGCTGATAACATACTGGTAATGGTATATTTACTATAATTTTATATCATATTTCTTTACCATTTTAGATAATATATGAGTTGTGCATAGGTCTTCAGTTTTAGCGAGAATTTAACCATATTATTGCTAGCCCATTGTGACTCTAAGCCTACCTCCTCCCTTAGTGTAGATAATATCATTCAATCAAAAAAAAATCTATGGTTTCCCCACAATTTGTGACTCAACCAACTCCGCCGAGGGAAAATTCTAAGCCCCAAAGGAAGACAACTGGATGTACACATTTTGGTGACCCCAAGCATAACGGTGATATGTGCTTCATGTGCTTCAAACTTCATGATGATGGGATGATCATAATGCAAGGGTAAAGGGGAGAAAAACCTCCAGTTTGACCTGCCTTCGCATCTCTTGCAATTCCTTGGTAACTTAACCGTTAAAGGATGGTTTAGGCAAGCCACTGGAATCGGCCCAATGGTAAGGGGCGTAGGGTAATGGATAAGAGTAGGCTAGCTTCAGGGTTTAAAACCCGTCATTGTGTCCGAAAAAAGATTGTATAGATGACCACATGAGCAACATGGTTTTGTTAAAAAATAAATAAAAATAAATAAAACAAGGACCAACTTCATGGGCATTATCATCTCATGAGAATAAGATTTAATTCGCATTTTTATGATAAAATAAAGCGTTTTTTTGTGAGATTTAAGTGTTGTTGGGATAAACGTAAAACAGTACAAGAGAGGAAAAACAAAAGCCAAACCGGTATTTCCCTCTTTTTCCACGAAAGGCAGGATCCGCTTAGCAACAGAAGAAAGAGCTTCATATATTTGGGGGTGGCCAAATCTTCTCAAAGAACTCCTCAACGCGATTTGCTTGATTAGCATAACCGTCCAGTCCACTAGCCAGAAGTTCCACGGCCGCAGGTCCCACAGATGATGCAAAGCTTAATTGATCCCACTTGGTAAGCTGGACACAAGGAAAAGATTAGTTAATAAACGCAAAACTAAACGAACTTTGATAGTCTGTTCAGATTATATTTTCCACCAGAGAGGCATCTAACTGATATAGATTATTCAAAACCCATTCCAGAACTTAAATTCTAATAACAGAAACCAGAATTTTGTTGAGCATTGAGAAATTATTCTTGAAAGTATGAGAAGCTTCTTATTCACCACTTTGCACTTTTTCAGAAAGGCTATAACAAGAAATGTGTCCATGCAAGCTGATCTAAGCTTAAGCAATCCAATCAACGATAATTACCTTCTACGTGAAAGCAGAAAGCATGCACCACACATATTGTCTTCAGCACAACTATGGTGGTGCTACTAAAGGGTCATCTGTATTCGATGGTAACGTAGAAAACAAAGACATAGAATAAAAAACATATGTTGAAGTCGTTCCAGTGGCAAAAGCGGTTTTAGTAACGAGTGACCAGCCGGTGACAGAAATAGTGGTCTGCCTGGTGGCAAACATGGATAATATAGAAGAAATTTCTCCACATCATTTTTGTACCAAAAGGATATGATGAGAACACCAGTTGGTGCACTCAAAATATTTTCATTTGCTCACTTGTTCCCTATTAAAGGAGGAGAACACCAAGAGGAATGGAACCAAGAAGTAGAATCCAAAGAGTGAAGAGAATCACCAAACACAACACCCACATGCAGAATCCTTCAACACCAAAGCTGAAGATTACTCACCACTTGACACTTCTCTCGGTCTTGAAGTGTTCAAGGTCATCGCTTGACAGCCATTGGCCATACCCCAATTCCAATTCAAGAACAAGTGCTTGCCACCCTTGAATCAAACTCAAAACCGGAGATCACAAATCTGGCACGCCTGGCGGGACAGCTCTGCCTCTTTTCTCTTCCTCCAGTTCAAAATTGATGGGTCCCAAGAAAAGTCAAGCCATTCCCTCGACCATGGACAGGAACATGAGTGCCTCCACCACGACCAGAGACTATGATGGTGTTATCACTCATAACAAGGCAAAGGCATCATCCTCAGTTCAACATATCAACTCCTCGCCAATTCGGCCTGAGTCATAAAGCATGGACCAAAAGCACAGACCAGTCATCCATTGAGCTTTGTAGGGGGCAGATAGCATGCCTTTGAAAGGAACTGGATGAGTTTCCATGAAATTAAGAAGGGTTTAAAGAACTCAACGCACCGATCACTCTCACCGATTTCAGAATCCAGACTTAAGCACAGGGCCATACCATGAATCACTGACTGATGACCAAATTAGGGAGTTTCCCTTGATACCCCTGGTATCAATGGGAGGTTCAGATTCCAGGCTATACAGCAGTTTATGTTGACAGGGTTCATTTCTGTTGAAGAACAACTAGCCAAGAAGAAGGAGATGATTGCCAAATTAGCAAAGAAGCTCGAGGAAAAAGATATCAAGATCTAGAGAAGTGTGTGTTGAATTACTCTGAATCCAGTAAGAAAGAGTCACACCAAGAAACTGAACCTAGCAAGAAATTGAAGTTAAAGGCCGAGACTTCCCCAGTGGGTTCCTTATCTGTCCAACAAATTCAGGACATGACTATGAACAACATTAAGGAGAACGGGTTTCCCTCTCAAGACATGGAGCCTAAGTCTGAATCTCGCTTCCATAGCACTCAAGGTACTGTAAGCATGATGGAGCTTGTGAATACAAAATAGTGGGAGGACGAACTGGTCATGGATTGCATCTAATGATGGTACTCATTAAGCAATAAATGTAAACACAGGCTTTGCAAAGTGTCAGCGGTTGAGATGTGCAGGCAAGGTATGCATTGGGATTACTCAACATCCTCTAAGGGAATAAGCCCCAGACTTTGAAGAGTTGGCCACTCATGTGCTTGACATGGAGTTGAGCATCGCCATCCATGGCAGGAAGAAATACTGTATCACCAACCATTGTAAAGAGACAAGGTTCTCAGACATAAAACGGACAAATACATGAAGAAACTTACCAAAGAAGCACTGACTATCAATAGAGTTGTTTTCACAATTTTTATTTCTTCTAATCAAAAAAAGAATGCTCTCTGTGGTTTATTCTTTTACAAGAAAACCAAAGAGGAAGGGGACCATGAAGTAGAAGTCAAAGAGAGAAAGAAGGGGGGAAAATAAGAAAGAGAAGAATTTCAAAAGAAGGAAAACCCAAAGTGTACCCAAACCAAACACAAAACACCCAAAAAGAAACCCCTTGTATTGTGTTCTTCATCAAGCTTGCGGAGAATCACCAAGCACAACACAGGGCTGCTGATTCCTTCACCACCAAAGCCGAATATCACTCTCCACTTGATACTTCTCATGCTCCCGACGGGTTCAAAGTCAATCCTCAACGACCCCTGACCATACCCCAATTCCTATTGAAGAACAAGTGCTTCCCACACTTGAGTCGAACTCAAGACTGGAGATCGAATCAAATGAGTATTCTTATATAAGAAAGAATAGACTACAGAGGTTGTAACTCACAAATGATTTTAAGTACACAAATTATTTTTGTACATGTGTTCTTGGTTGATTTGAAGTAGGAAAATCATGTCCGCAATAGTGACATTCCTACCTATGGGAAGGACAATGATGGTGCAGCCATAAATTGGTGATTCTAGAGGTTTCGAGTTATTCCATCTCCACGTTCATTCTATTTCTAGTAATAACAATAAAATACCGTCCGAGCTGTAGAGCTTGCTTCCAAAATGAAAGACTTTAAAATTTAAAGATACTGTCATGGGTAACTAAGCATTCTTTGTTGTGATTCTCTATTTTGATCTGGTGTTGTGATAAAATTGAAGAACAAGGAATTGAAGAGATTAACAATGGAGTAATTTCGAAAGGATTGTTGCTCTCTGCAAAATCTAGCAGGGCATATTCTATTGCTTCTCTCTCTTCAAAACTCACACACTCGGTGTTTACATGACCGTTAGAATCCAAGGTGGATTCTCACTCAACACAAAAACAATCTCAGCCCTTCATCTAGCTAGTTGCTAGACTTACAACACCTGGCATTATTTGCCTTACTATCATATAACTTCTACTTGGTATTTTAACTCAAGTGCATACACACATTAATACACAACTTATTCCTAATCAGCTATAGACTTATAATTCAACATTCTCATCATCAATTGGCAAGGTTTATTAAAACTGACAGCTCAAGAAGAAAAGAGGTTCAACAACAACAACAATGCATTTTCCCACTAAGTGGGGTCGGCTGCATGAACATTTACTACTTTTGACACTCAACATCTACTTCTCAAAGGAAATAGAGTCACTCATAATCTTACCACTATTTGGTTTTTATATATAGCTCTATCAAAAACGGCGCCATTTTGGCCTTGTCACATGAAATAAGAGACTGATATTAAATTACCAACAGGCAACAGCAATACACACAACACGCAGGTGCCTATTAACCTTATTCATCCTTTGCTTCACATATATTATAGAGGAACCTTGTAAAATTCATTTAATTTTGTCATGTACTACCCCCCACCAATAGGTTAGAATGAGAAACTCCTGACGCAGAATTAATAAACCGAGCACAGGGAGAAAGCATACCTCTTCTTCATTGAACTTGTAGGTGGCAGCGGTTTGTGGAGATAGCCTCCTGATGAAAGAGTACTTCTCTTCAGGGGTAGTAACTGATTCTTTGAGTGACTGCAATACCTTCAATGGTGCAATGATGTAGTCAACCCTGAACACATAACAGACAACATGAGCAGGAAGTTGATGCCTTACGTTGATTTTTGTAGGACCTCATAGCTACAAAAAAATACAAAATTAAAAAGTGGGTATATAAATTACCCCAAGAGACTGAATAGATCCTGCTTATTCCGAACTGCTGCTGCCATCAACTTAGATTTATGTCCATATTTGTGAATGTAGTTATATGCCTTTGTCACCTGCAAAACCAGAAAACATCTTATTATTATATAGGAACAGTTTATATTCAATATCTTCCTTCACAAAAGCTCCATTGTCACATGAGTAATTCTTGACAAATATTCTTTAGGCTCATTGCTAATTGGGGAAAGAGAGTTCAATCAGTGATGCAGAAAGAGAGTTTGAATAAATTCTTTACGCTCAATGCTAATTGGTTATGACTTATGAGATATAAGGATATGAAACTATAACTTGAAAAACACAAAAGTACACACCAGTTTATATTTAGCAATCATTTGTAACTGAGATGAATATAAAGGTCAAAAATGAGAGATCGAAATAAAAGTTTATTCGTTTAAGACCATGACAAACAACAGTGCACAACAAAATATAAAAAAACCACAACATGAGAAGTTTCCAACTTACCAAAGCTAACCCAGGATCCTCCCCTCTTTTGAGAGCAGCTTCTATCTCAGGGTCACCAGAATGGTTGCGAGACCAATCCTGAATGATAAATTTGACCTTTAGAAACTAAAAGTTGAACTAAAAAAAATTCCATTATGCAATTGTGATTGAACATTACCCTAAGACGGCCAACAAAAATCTGGATAACAGAAGCACCAGCTTGGGCTGCAGCTGCTGCTTGAGCAAAGCTGATGAAAAATGACCCAAACCATCACCAAACACAACTTAAGAATTAAAATTGAATTCAACTTAGAAGACCAAAATGTGTGTTTAAAGAGCAAGGGTAATGGCAAAGTCGCCTTACACAAAGTAACTTTAATAAACAAAATAACAAGGCAGCATTCTGATTTTGTTTTCATCATCAGAACCTAATAGCTTCTGCTATAGAATTTTAGATTGACATTCACGCAATTTTTACTGCCACAATAAGAAAACATGTCATCCACGTAATAATAATAATGGCACCTTTAGACATCACCAATTGTTTTGGACCATTTTCAACACATTGGCAAGCTATCTTGTCTCCCGACCAAAGAGGAAGAGAGGCAGAAGGGAGGGAGAAGGTAGCATGAAAAATTATATCCGCTAAAACCGTATAAAATCGTGCCTTTATAGAATTTGGTAACTTGGTACAACACCAAGCATAATATTTCAAACAGGTTCTTCAAGCTTACACCAGTTAATTGTAAGAAGCTTACCTGTACACAAATGTCAAATGTGTCTGTATGCCCTCAGATTCTAGTAATCTTGAAGCCTCTATTCCCTGTACAAAAACCCAACAACCAATGAGCAACAAAAAAATGTAAAACAATCGTGGCCTTATTGTATCGTGTCAACACAGAATGTTCACTACAGGCATAATTTTATCTAACACTTACTTGCCAAGTTGAAGGAATTTTGAACAGCAAACGCTCCGGAGGAACATTAACTTGATTGTACAACTTCAGCAAGTCATGCACCTGCATATTATAGAAACCAATTGTAACAGACTGCAACGAAAAGATACAAAATAGTCTAAACAGTGCTCTGAAATGAAAAAGTCATCTAGTTACAAACTATCAAATCTAAGCATTTTACATGAGTTCTGAAACTTCAATGCAAAACAATTGCAACAACCATTATCACTAACAAGTCATAAAGCTGCTCTAGATACAACTAAGAATGAGCTGAATGCATACACGATTAAGATAGAAACCAAAAAATTATACTTGAACATGCGCGATTAATTATACAATATGATTAATTTCCCAATAATGTGTTAGTTGAAAATAATAGATTGCTCACCAGGAAGAACGAATACCTTTTGGATAATTCCATGCATGTCATAAGCAAGACGTGCATCCACCTCAGTAGACACTCGGCCAGGAACTAGTTTTGCCAAATCACCACCAACATTCACTAAAGCCTACACACCCAGGACTAAAGTTTAAACCCTATGATCAATCTAACAAGGCATATGCAAGTTAAATTGTTAATGAATAATATAGAGAAAACCAACCTTGTTGAAAAAACATGACAATCTCACTTTGGAGTTTTCATGCAGATTACACTCCGAATCTGCCAACGCCGTATCCACAGCATTCTATAGCAAAGAAAAATTAATCAGAAAATACTACATGTCTAATGTCTTCCCATATTAGCATTAAAAAGCAACTTGAAGTTTTCTAATTTTTCAATTGAATGCTTACTCTAAAGATGGTATCGGGGAGGCTACAAATACCCAAGAGTAGGGAAGAGCTCACTGTTGCAGCAGTTGGAGGAAACCTATATACAAATAATCAGTAAACAGCCAAAAAATTCAAAAACACTAAATTAAAAAGAAGAAAATCCTTCATGTAATTCAGCTAGATGGAGATGATTCACATGTACCTCTCAAAATCATCGAAAATCACGGTGTCTGGAACGATCTCGCTGTAGCTAGAAACAGCGTCCAATTCAGTGGTTGAACCTGACAAGCCAATTAATTCAACAACAAATCATTGTCAAAACAATATCTGAAACAAAAAATAAAAATAAAAAAAAAGGAAAGCTGAGGAGTGAGTGAGTGAGTGTGTGAGAGTTACCAGTGTCGAGAGTGGAGGCGCGAATGAGAGGAAAGGATCGCTGCGGGTTGAAGTGTAAATTGGAACGTGGGGATCCATTGGAGAACCTCAGCCTCGTCCGCTGCCGTGATTTAATTTACAGTTCGTGCAGTAGTTAGTCAGCTAGCAATAAGAAAATCTGAGAATCTAGAGAGAGAGAGAGAGAGAGAGAGAGAGAGTGTGGAGTTGGTGAAGCTTACCTGGAAGGAGGACGAGACGGCTGAGGAGGGCGGTGATTGCAAAGAGATTGACATTGTTTTTGTTTTGGTTTGGCAGAAAATCGGTTGCAGTTGGAAGTTAATTGGGCGGAGGATCAACGAGGTTCTCCTTTTACAGAGACAGACAGACACCTCGTTTTGGTCATTTATCGCAACTCTCAGCTTTAATGATGTTTTTTATATGGCAGCGTTTTCACGAATTCGTCTCGTCTATGCTAAATTTTTCATTGTGAGGGGAATATAGGTAGTAAATCACGTATTTTTATGTAAATTATTGAAATTTTTATCTTTTAAGGTATTAATTTTTTAACACACAAATCCTATCATTTGTATAGTGACACGTGGTGTACCACCTCATGTGTCAATCACATTGAAAAATCTCCCTCCTAACTGGATATTTGTCCAAACTAAGGTTATAAGTAAGGGTGGTTTCGGTACTATTACTGTATCAAAATTATCGTATTAAACTTTCGATTTAACAAAATCTATTACCATTACCATACTAAATTTTCGGTACACCGAAATTTGGTATTGCCAAATAGTTTGATTGGCATGGTATGACAATGGTAATTGCCACGTTGTTTTGGAACAAATCTGTTTTTGTTTTTTTAACCCAATTCAAGGGCAAAGTTTTTTTCTCTACCTTTATGTCATACATTGTAGCCTAAATTCATCTATTATTCATCATTAATAATTCACTCACACACACAATAATTCAAATGATGGAATCTTGATGAAAATTAAGCTTATAATCCAAATAGAAGTTACGAATCAAAACAAATAGAAGTTAAAGTTTCAAACCCAAATAAAAATTGGAACTAAACTTCAAAAAGTAAAATTCATTGATCAATTCTTCAAACTTGAGATGTTGAAGCTTTTGTAGGAGTTTACTTCATCCACCCTAAGCCAATCACTAGTACACACTAGTGCTTCTACCATTTTAGGATTCAAGGATGCCCTAAAAGGATCCACAACCCTCCTCCCTAGTCTAAATGCATTTTCACTAGCAACGGTAAAAGTGAGGATTGCAAAGATATCATTGGCTATTTGTGAAAGAATTGGGAACTTTTTTATGTTTGATTTCCACCAACTCAAGAGATCAAAGTCACCAACAACAATGCTAATATAATTAGGGTCTTTTTTTTCCAAATTATTGGAATATTATAAAAATATACATACATACATACATATATATATATATATACTACAAATATGTGTTATATAATTTATGAATTATATTATATTTTTTGTACGGTACTGTAATACCATGGTAATGGTATCAATTACCAATATCGTATCATGAAATTTTGGTACGGTACAATATCGTACCATTACTAATTGGTACAAAAAAAATTGGCACAAAATTGGTATGGCACGGTTGGCAATTCAGTTAGCACGGCAATTTGGCAAAAAAAAAAAAAAAAATCCACCCCTAGTTATAAGACGTTACGCGATAATCAGGCAGTGGCCTGGTGTTTAGCACTTAGACGGCTTGACGAGGCCTAGACGAACTAGGCGGGATTTAGGTTGGTTTAAGTAAATTTATTATTTATTGTACAAATAAGTGCTTGCTTATACGTAAAAATTACAAATAAGTACAAAATAAAATGACATATGGATTATAAAGTATTAGAACATAATACAAAATATAAAATTTCTTTATTTTCTGTCTAAGTGAGAGTGGCAACCTAGACGAGTCTAGGCGGGCGCCTAAGCAAGTCTAAGTGCCGATTTTTAATTTTCAAACATCTAAGGACCACTTAAGGCGGTGGCTAGCCGCTTAGTGGCTAAACGGAGCTAAGTGGAGATTTTTAGAACAATAATCCAAACATTTAAAAGCTATATTTTTTAAAAAAAAATATAAGACACATTGAGAGATCGTCACATATGTTATGTTATAATTCACCCCAGTTGTAACATTTGTACTGTTAAATGTTTGAAAATATTAATAATTATCCACATAACTTATACACAAATTATGACTGAATGTTTAGAAAGATCAATAACAAGTTAAAACTAGTGTTATAAGTTAGCGTTTCAAGTCAACTCTTTACAATAAATATTCGAAAATCTCAATTATAATTCAAGTGATGAACGTGTTAAATCGTCCTACACTATTATTTATGGGTAATAACTCTTTATTAGGAGGGGTGAGCCTATTACACGTGTTACAAAGTAGTGTTGTTATTTAGAGAGATTTGAATCGGAGAGTACACGTTGACTACCATTGAATCTAGAATTCTCGATATGCTTTAGATCATAGTTTTGGAGATAATATAGAAAATGAGATAATGGATGCAGGTGAGAATAACGAGGAATAATCATTTTCAGGTACTTTAGGATGGGGACAAACTATTGTATGGTATTCTTCGCCACCCAAATACCGGATCGCTAAGGGCCTAAAACTCCATTTCATTAGGCGTTTTCAAGGTGCAGACCTTGCGTCCGGACCTTGTGTGCGAACCGAAATCTAATGGTTGTGATTTGCTGAGCTCACGGTTGTAATTAAATTTTATTTTATTTATTGGGTATGTTTTTATCGGAGAGAAAGAGAGAGGCGTGAAGTTGGAGGATTATTCACCCATTGAAGAGGGAAAGAGAGGCAAAGAGAGGGAGCTGGGGTTAGAAATCGATTTCAAGTGGATTGAAGCTCCGTTGTGATTATGATCTAGTAATCTTATACCTTTAATTTGTTTTAGTTCACTAGGTGTGCTTTTGTCAGCAAAAGGGGGAAAGATTAGGGTTGTCTTCGTGGGAAAAAAGAGGCAGAGAGGGGTTGGTGAGGGTAGGAGTGTTCGATTTTCAGGTGGATTGATCACGACCTAGTAAATCCTATACCTTTATTTATTTATTTTGTTCACTGGGTGTGTTTTGTCGAAGAGAGAAGGATAGCTAATGGTTGTATTCTCAAGGAAAGAGAGGCAGAGAGAAGAAGCTGATGAAGGGTGTAAACGCTCAATTTCATGGGGATTAAAGTTGTGCTTGGATTGGAGTTGACAGTGGTGGTTTATCCAGAACCTCTGAAGAAACCCAGATTGTGAAGGTCAATTTCTGAAGAAATCCAAAACCTCTATTATAATCCATTACCATTCCATTTTGGTATTTATAATTCTGGGAATTAAATCCATAATGGTGGGCGGTTGCCACTAGACTTGGTTGAAATCGTGAAATTGGATTTTAGATATATAGGTGTAAAACTTGTGCTAGGTTGTCATAAGTTGTGTTGTAGTTGAGTAGATTTGTGGCAGGTAGACATTGAAGTGTAATTCAATGGGGGATGAGTTAGAAATAGAAAAAATTATGGTGGAGTGAAAGGATGTAGATGCAAGGGATCAATTTGGTGCAAGGAAAGTTGAATGTGTGCTACCAACGGTAGATAATGAGTTGGAACCCAAATTGAAAATGGAGTTTGATTCGTTAGGTGAAGGATATCACTTTTTACAACAATTATGCACTTGCAAACAAGGCAAAAGAATTTAGAAGCATAGTAGTAAAAAGTCCAATGGTGGTGATTGTTGGTTAAGGAAAGAATTTGTTTGTTGCAAACAAGGCAAAAAGAGGGTGGGTGCTAATCCCAAACCAATTAGAATCATAGGAGGGGTGATGCTAAAACTTAGTGTAAGGCAAAACTTGTGCTGGATAAGGGAATTGGTTGTGAAAATTTGGTTATAATAGTTTTCAACGACACAACCACCATATGTCAAGTGCCTCACACTTAATTAGATTTTAGAGGTAAAGAAGGCGATGATTAATCAATGTATGTGGCCAAACATTTCCATAAATAAACAAGCGGGTTTATTAAAGGTGCAAAGTGGAGGAATTGGAAATATTGGTTGTAGCCCATGGATATGAACAATGCCAAACAACAATTGCGAGTTCATCTAATTGGTCATGATGAGAAAGAGAAAAAAAAATCATTCTATTTCAAATTGAAGATTGGTAAAGGTGGAATACTCGGCAATTTCATTTTGGTGGATGCTAAGTCATGACATAGTTATGACCATTTTGGTGATGTGATTGTGTTTGACACCACTGTCAACACTAATATGTACTGGATGATGTTTGCTCCTTTGTTAAGAGTTAATAACCATGGTCAAACCACAGTATTTGGTTGTGTATACTTGAAAAATAAAAAAACCGAGAGCTTTGTGTATACTTTCATACAAATTGAGTTCCGGCATTTTGTAAGCACAGTTTTTCCGTCGGAATGTCGAATAGTCAATGTGCGGAGCATTCTCATATCTTTTTCAAACAATATTTGCATAGAAAGCGCTTTTTTATTGAATTCATTATTTGGTTTAATCGAGCCCTTGGACGGCAACATCAGAAAGAGGTGATTGCGACTACAATAATGAAAATTGTGTGCCTCTTTTGCAGCTGCGCACCCCAATGGAAGTTCAAATGGGCAAATTCTACGGTAAGCATTTTCTACTATACGCAGTATATATATTTTGGAAACTATACTTGTTTTACAGCAAGAAGTAATTATGTTTTTTAAAAAGTTTTTACAAAGCTTTATTTTTAGGCCCACTCACCCTTGTTTTTCGCTCCTCCAGGTTTTAGTGGCTAAGCTTTCATGTCGACGAGGATTTCTGGCAAACTGTTGTTATGAGAATACTATCGACGGTATAATTCCTCATTTATCTTTGATGTACTTTACTTATACTCTAACATCACGTGTGAAATGGGTTCATTCCTGCTCACAAGCGCTCCTGGTGTCGACCAGCATAGCTTGATTTAGACATTCCGGGTTGGGGTGTGTCAACTAACCTCTTCATCTCCGTCACCCTTGCAGCCTTCTCAAGTACTTCATACACTGTCTTATTCCCATTCCCTGACTTTTCCCTCAAGAAACAAGTCACACTCTTCAATTCCTCCACTTTAAACTTTTCGAACATAAACTGAGTGTACCTGCATGTAACAACCCATCCATAATTTTATGATTTTATTCATTTTAAAGGAGTGAATTGACCATAATACCCTTAAAAGAAAGATTGTTGACTTTCTTTGACCGTCTCTCCGTGACTCGTATGAGCTATTATTTTACTATATTCTCGAAGTACCTAATGGTACAAACGCATAGAAGCAAGCGAAACTGAATTTGGAGTTACGATGAAGATTTTACAGACTTACAAACGTGAAGGGTGATTTGGTAAT